TGCTCCTCCTATCCTCTCTTAGCTGCCTTGTTGCAACATTTGCAATTTTACAGACATGTCCTTATTTAGCCAGCGGGCTAACACAACTTCCCATTGAAGGCTAATCTAAAGACTCAAGCACACGTCCTCAGCTGTTGCAATTATGCCACTAAGTGCAATAGGCTCTGTAGCTTTGCATCAGCTGAGAATCAACTTGTGAGGGCAAAGTAAGTGGATGCAGCTGCAGTTGTCTTCCTTGGGAGTTGCCCCTCATATGCAACTGATTGTAGGTGGCTGAAAGCTGGTATTTAAAAAGACAAGCTTCTTTTTTTTTTTTTTTTTTTTTTTTTTAATTAATAAAAATTAATGTAGCTGGTGAAGTTATTTCTGCCAGATGACTGCCCAGGGCCTGTAACCCATCATACCCCAACCCAAAGCAAAAGATGTGGATGGAGCTAGCTTAGAAAACAGATTATGAGATCATAAACAAAATGTTATCTTTCATGCAGTATCATGTGGCAGAAGAAAGATAAAATTGAAAATGTGACCCTTTTTTTCCTCAAATAATACAGTGCCATTCAACAGACTTAATTATCGCTGAAGACACATCTATTAACTGTTGGTCTGTCAATCAAAACCCTTATTAGACATGCACATGACGTCACATCACAGTCTAACAATTTTTCCTGCCAGTCAAAAACCTTTATATAGATTAATCTGATTTCAGAGGCAAGTTTTGTGTTTGACCTTTCACTCAGCTTCTTCAGGGCTGAAGCCAAAGAGGAGCTGAGTGCTTTCTGTGTGATGTTGAGCTGGAACTATGGGCTCTGGGCTGTCCCCAAGAGCTTCCCTCTTGACTGCGCTCTGCTTTATGCTGTGGCATGGAGCCTGCAACTCTTGTACAGGAAAAGAACTTTGCCTTGGATGGCTGAGTGACCTGGAATGGATCTGCATTGCTACAGGAGAGCTCTTCTCCTCCTTCTTCTGGTCTGTCTGTACAGCAGTATTAATTCCCTATCTGATTGGGGTATCACAAAGCCCTGCTTCACTGAGGTACCTGCACTGGGTTTTGAGATGACACAGCCCATCCCAAGTACACTGTGTACACTCACTGCTTTGCTGTGGCCATGCACCCGTGGCAGCAATTGCTGTACTGGAGGGTGCCCTGGAGCCTTTGCTCCAGGAGGAAATATCTGCTTTGCTACAGGAAAAGTGTGTGTGCCTGAGGACAGGCACTGAACTGACAGCCCAGGGAGTTTTCTCACACAGCATCCAGCTGGGATGCAAGGGTGAGAAGTAAATGCACTAACAATCACCAGGGTTTGAAAGGCAGCCCTGTCCATTTTTCCCACACCAAGCTGGCAGGAGCTCTGGGCTGCATCACATTCACTGCATGCACTGCTCTGCTTGTGCCCAGCAGTTGAGACAGGCTTTGGAGATGCTTGATTTCCTTTGCTAGCGAGTGTAGGTTAATGCAGATACTCCAGGTATTCAAGGTGCTCCTGCAAGTACAGCTCTTGTTTCATATGCATAAATATAAAATCATCACTGGCAATAACCAGCATCACCTGTTCTGCTGGGGTTCTCCTAGCATCACTGCTCTCTCCCTTCCCATAACCCCAGACAACTTTGTTTCTCACCCCTTTACAACCAGGAACTGATGTTGTAGGGTGACGATTATACCATTGGGCTTGACATGCTCTACACAGCTGTAGAGCGAAAAAGGTGGTGCCTTCCTAGTTGACCTAGCTGGTAGGTCAGAAATGGGAGGGACTGTTCCATTTCAAAGCACTTATCATGGTGGTGGTGTCATATGCATCTCTCTGGGATCTGTAGTTAGATAGTGAATCTGAAGAGGTTATAAATTTATTTACCGATAGTAAGCTTCATGTACCCAGTTGCACTGACACTTCATGTCTCTTTTTAACTGAAATAAAAGCAAATGGCAAAGGCTGGGGCTTTCAAGATAATGTCATTTATCTTTTCAAAATATGCTTTTTAGATGTCAGGCAAAAACGTTTTACAATAGCTAGAAGAGATCTTGTCTGGCATCACTGTATTTTTATTGGTCTTTAACGTAACTTGAAAATATTAGGCCATATTGTGGTGTTCACTTTTCTATTGATTTTTCAGACAGTCTGATAACCCAAATGAAAAAAATGCCTGTAATTAGACAGCTTTCCTAAAGCTGGGGGGCTTTGGAGAAAGCCACACAGCAAGCTTCCTCTGCATGTAAAACTTCAAAGTGGTTCTTAAATTCATGAACTACAGG